TCCTTACTGTCTCTGATGGTCTCTCAATGGCCTCAGTTGACACGTACTTAACCACCAACTTCCAGCTCCCCTCGAACAGCAACACTTTCCTCACTGCAGCCTGCCTGTGTTGTTATGTGTGGATTTAGCTGGCTCGGAATTCAGCGACCAGAATGTGTTAACCAGACATCTGAGCAGCAATCTCAGCGGCGCCTCCAAAATGTTACGCCCCTGAAAAAGGAAATAATCACGAGAGTGATGCAGTTATGTTTCCTCACTGAGAACTTTAGTGTAATCATTTTACAAAAATACCAAATTTTACAGAACAACAGATCTACAGGAAATAGATCGTTTTGTAGGGTACAAAGCTTATTCAAGTCACAACAGCATAAACTGTAATTCACTAAAACATATGCAAATGTTTCAATATAACTGTCAAGCACAAAGGAGCTTTAGCTCAGTAACCCATAACTAAATTTATCAACAATGTCAACAAAGTGTTCGAAACACATTATACAAATAACACCAAAATATATTATTAACAGCGTACATGTTCATTCACAATTAACATAAAATGGCAGCTACTCTCAGTACGAAGCTATTTTTCGCTGCAACCAAGCGGGGTTCCACTCACACACACACATATTACACTCTGCAACTTAACTCGAACTTACTCAAGATGTTACTAAAACACACCTTAAACACTCTTGACATGTTAGCAAGTTATTACATTTAAATTAACTTGTTTTATATCAATAACATACCTGAAAAAGGGGAGAAATAATCACGAGAGTGATGCAGTTATGAGAACTGAGAACTTTAGTGTAATGAGGAAAAGACCGCAATTTCCCCAGGAACTTGGGTGGAGACCAGAGCAATCGATCTCAGGCTCATAGATTAAGAGCATTTAGTAGATCACAGATTAACACTTTTACCCTTAAATTAGGCACCACAAAATAAAGTAGTCAATATAACGTTTACACATTCCTCTTACAATTTTTACCCTTTGTACACTTGACGGATTTTAACCTTAACACAATTATGAATTTTATCAATCTCTATGAACTAGTACTGAATGCATTATCTTTTTAACCTTAGATATTTTAAGATCGTCACATACTATGAACTTACTAATACTTTTTAGTGTATAACAGGCTATGAATATTTCCTTTAATCTGTCACATAAGCACAGGCAAATCCTAGACAGAAACCTGGTTTAGTCTGCTTTTCAACAGACACTGGGAGACAAATTCACCTTTCAGCAGGACAACTATACACTGGAGTTACTTACCAAGACGACATTGAATGTTCCTGAGTGGCCTAGTTACAGTTTTGACTTGAAAATCTATGGCTGTCTAGCAATGATCAACAACCAACTTGACAGAGCTTGAAGAATTTAAAAAGAATGATGTGCAAATAGTGTACAATCCAGGTGTGCAAAGCTCTTAGAGACTTACGAAGAAAGACAAAGCTGTAATCGCCGCCAAAGGTGCTTCTACAAAGTATTGACTCAGGGGTGTGAATACTTACATAAATGAGTTTTTTCTGTATTTAATTTTAAGTAACTTTGCAAAAACTTCAAAAAACATGTTTTCACTTCATCCTTATTGTGCGTAGATGGGTGAGAGGAAAAAAAAGTATTTAATCCATTTTGAATTCAGGCTATAACACAAGAAAATGTGGAATAAGTCAAGCGTTATGAATACTCACCAAATGAAATTAATTTGTGTTGGAGGTTTCATGATGCTTGTATCTAAACTAAAGTAGATCATTTAAAGATTGTTCTATACATCAGTTAGGGTCTCTATGCTTCAATATGAGGTCCTAAGTATGTTGAGCCAATGGTTGAGCAAGTTGAAGTGTTTTTTTTCCCAGGCGTAATGCATGGAATTATCGCTGGGATATGAGGTAACAACAGGGCCCATGTTAAAAGTGTTAAAACAAAGTACTTAAATTGTTAAAATACAAAAAAAGTGATTGATTGTGTTGAATTGTGTTTGGGGAATAAAGACAGACATGGTTTTAAGTACAGAAATGTGTATGCGGCTTAACTTACCCTGTCCCGTGGCTCAACTTAAGTTGTGCCAGGAGACCACTTTTTTTGGTCAAGCTGTTTTCAAAACTGTTGACATAAATTCTGACTATTTCCAGGGATGCACAACATACAGTATGTAGATATCTTTTTAGAAAGAATAGGGTATTTCCCTTGATGGAGTGATGCAGATTGTAAAAATAGCTCACCTTACCCAACTCTCCCCTAATTGTCCACTGACTACAAAGGGAGAAAACAGAGTGACCAAGGCTATGCCAGTGGGGTGTTGCTCGCCAGGACCAAGCAGCACACATGAACACACATGAACGCCACAAGCATGCAAGCACACATGCACACACACACATGCACGGACCCACACACACACACTAGGCAGCCATCAATGTGTTTGAGAATGGTATTGATAATCTTTCTGGGGGATGTTGACGCACACCACCTTTTACCCCACTCAGCAGCATGGCACCAGAAGCACCACCGGCAAAACACTAAATTCCAGACTCCGTAGTGTTTACTACGTACATGCCCCTCAGCTGCAAAACAGCTCAAAAAAAGGAAAAGGAAAAAAACACATTGTAAAAGTGTTAAAAGATATCCAGAAATATCATTTAGGGAACCACAACAGCTTAATTTGTCTTTGCTTTTACCCTCAAAAGTGATGCATATATTATTTAAAGGTGGTTTGATACCCAGGCAACATGAAAGCAGGCCAGGATAGCTTCACATAGCCTCAACCTTAGCTTCTCACTGCTGGCAAATTTATAATAATGAGGGATGACAGGATTCCTCCACAGCTTCAATTATGAATGATGGGCTTTTATCTTCTTCCTGTTAATTGGCTGTTCCTGCTCAGCGCTTTAGTTTGCACCTCTCAGATACCTGGATCGCTCTCTCTCTCTCCATCTCTCTCTCTCTCTCGCAGATCTGGAAAAGAAAACCTGTCTCAATGACAGACTGCTGAAATATTTTAATATAGATTTATCATGGAAAGTCAGGAACTTTTGGCTCATCACAGGGACGTTAACCAAGGTGTTTTTGACACTTAGCTGTAAAGTGAATGTATTCATCTTGAGCTACAGCATGAGTACAATACCTCCGTCTATACATTACTTTAGCGACCACTTAGTGCTGTGTGATGGGCATTGTAAAAGTGACATGATACTTACAGTGGGAGAACAAGTATTTGATACACTGCCGATTTTGCAGGTTTTCCAACTTACAAAGCATGTAGAGGTCTGTAATTATTATCATAGGTACACTTCAACTTTGTGATACAGAATCTAAAACAAAAATCCAGAAAATCACATTGTATGATTTTTAAGTAATTAATTTGCATTTTATTGCATGACATAAGTATTTGATACATCAGAAAAGCAGAACTTAATATTTGGTACAGAAACCTTTGTTTGCAATTACATAGATCATACGTTTCCTGTAGGTCTTGACCAGGTTTGCACACACTGCAGCAGGGATTTTGGCCCACTCCTCCATACAGACCTTCTCCAGATCCTTCAGGTTTTGGGGCTGTCGCTGGGCAATACGGACTTTCAGCTCCCTCCAAAGATTTTCTATTGGGTTCAGGTCTGGAGACTGGCTAGGCCACTCCAGGACCTTGAGATGCTTCTTACGGAGCCACTCCTTAGTGGCCCTGGCTGTGTGTTTTCGGGTCGTTGTCATGCTGGATGACCCAGCCACGACCCATCTTCAATGCTCTTACTGAGGGAAGGAGGTTGTTGGCCAAGATCTCACGATACATGGCCCCATCCATTCTCCCCTCAATACGGTGCAGTCGTCCTGTACCCTTTGCACAAAAGCATCCCCAAAGAATTATGTTTCCACCTCCATGCTTCACGGTTGGGATGGTGTTCTTGGGGTTGTACTCATCCTTCTTCTTCCTCCAAACAAGGCGAGTGGAGTTTAGACCAAAAAGCTCTATTTTTGTCTCATCAGACCACATGACCTTCTCCCATTCCTCCTCTGGATCATCATTGGCAAACTTCAGACGGGCCTGGACATGCGCTGGCTTGAGCAGGGGGACCTTGCGTGCGCTGCAGGATTTTAATCCATGACGGCGTAGTGTGTTACTAATGGTTTTCTTTGAGACTGTGGTCCCAGCTCTCTTCAGGTCATTGACCAGGTCCTGCTGTGTAGTTCTGGGCGGATCCCTCACCTTCCTCATGATCATTGATGCCCCATGAGGTGAGATCTTTCTAATAATTGCGCCAACAGTTGTTGCCTTCTCACCAAGCTGCTTGCCTATTGTCCTGTAGCCCATCCCAGCCTTGTGCAGGTCTACAATGTTATCCCTGATGTCCTTACACAGCTCTCTGGTCTTGGCCATTGTGGAGAGGTTGGAGTCTGTTTGATTGTGTGTGGACAGGTGTCTTTTATACAGGTAACGAGTTCAAACAGGTGCAGTTAATACAGGTAATGAGTGGAGAACAGGAGGGCTTCTTAAAGAAAAACTAACAGGTCTGTGAGAGCCGGAATTCTTACTGGTTGGTAGGTGATCAAATACTCATGTCATGCAATAAAATGCAAATTAATTACTTAAAAATCATACAATGTGATTTTCTGGATTTTTGTTTTAGATTCCGTCTCTCACAGTTGAAGTGTACCTATGATAAAAAATTACAGACCTCTACATGCTTTGTAAGTAGGAAAACCTGCAAAATCAGCAGTGTATCAAATACTTGTTCTCCCCACTGTATATAGAAATTATTTGAGAGCCTGAATGACACTTGGAATGCTATTGAAGCCTTTAAAAGCATTTAAATACATATTTGTTACTGACTTGAATGAACAGGTCATTGTGGAAGAAAGATAATTAAAGGGATGCTGGGTCAAATACTGGATCCAATTAGCTGCTATGACAGGGAGCTAGTGACAGCTAGACTAATGCTATGCTGCAACACACACACACACACGTCCTGTTATCTCAGCCTTAGCTAAGCCACAGCAGCAGCATAGAGGGATGGAGGAGAAGAATCCAGGGAATAATAGAGCAAACGAGTCACGACTCCAGGAGAACGCCCACCAGATAGTCATTAGGAGGGAACCTCTGCCTCCCATTCAGGGGGAGAGAGAAAAGGCTCACTCAGCATCCCTCCCTCCCTCTCAGCCTTCCCCCTCCTTCCCTCTCCCCTTTCACATACTCTCCTCCTCCTAGCCCTCTCTTCTCAGTCCTTCTACTCTCCTTCTTAGTCCTTCTGCTCTCCTTCTCAGTCCTTCTGCTCTCCTTCTCTCTCCTGTCCCCTTGCACTCTCAACCCACCTCCTCCTCCTCTTTCCTACTTCAGTTTAATCTGAAGCCTCAGCTTCATCTGTAACTTTGGCTTCATCCCACTGAGGCTATAGTTGATGTTTGTTAGACTGTATGGACTGTTATTGAACATTGCATGGTAACATTGCAGTAAATAAATAAGAGCATTGAATTGGTGGTTGTGCTATCCTATAATTTGCTCCTACTGTAGCTGTATAATCCAGTCTAAAAGTAGTATTTTAAGAGTAGGCCTATGAGGAATAGAGACATTTTGACCCTAGAGGGATATTTGTGATCATAGCCCAAAGGTGGTTTATTCAATTGATCCATTTTTTCATGACTTTGTAAATAAGGAAAACTAAGCCATATTTTTGTTCATTTTCACTCAGTATCTATGGATGAATCACTTTATGTCAATAAATCACTGCCTCTTTAAATGCAGTCGTTTTGACTACACAAATATGACAACATTTATATGTACTTACAAATTCTAAAAACTAATTGATACCACAATCAAATGATGGTAAATCAGCTTTTTAGTACTAATGTGGATTATACTTTGGAAAAAGATGCACATTGAATAAAGGAAACATTTATATTTCTGTTTGACAAAATATGCAAGTGAACTGTAATTTGGTAAAATAAGACTGTTTTGGTTCTCTTGTATTTCAGATAACATTATTTACATGTCTAATGATGTTTTGATAAGAATTAGGTTGATCTTTTGCTATGATTGTTGCTTTTTCCAATAGTTATTGGGGTCAAATTGACCCCAGTTGGCCCATGTATGAAACATTTTGGTAGTGTGAGGGTTAAAATACAGCAACAAGCACTTTATTTTTCTATCTGAATACTTTGAAGAGCTGAAATGTCTTTTAGAGCTAAAGAGCAACCTATACCACTGAAGAGAAGTGCATGTTGTCCCTGTTTTAAATTAACTGTCCAGTAAAAATCGCACTTTCATAAGTTCATATTATTTTAACTCGTACCCAAATAATGTTGTTGACTCGTCCTATACCCGTATTGGTGGCAAAAGCATAAATTGGAGAAAATTAAACACTTAAAAAACCCTACCTCAAACAGACAGTTTCAAAAATGCTTGCTAATTCCTCATAGAGTATTACTTCATACTACTTCATTAGCAAAACAATTATTGTGGTTTATCCTATATTCTCCCTAACATCCTTACCCTCTTGCAACAGATGTGGGATAAACACACACGCACATACTCTAACACACTCAACCCCTTTCCTCCACAATCAACCATAAGATCAGGTGCTCAACGGTTGTTACATCCCAGAGCCCAACTCAAGAATGGACCAGATTCATGAATGCATATAGACTTACAGCTGTTTGAGAAAGCATGCAAGATCGAGCAGAAACTGACAACAATGTGAGATTTGGCAACACTGGCTGCAGTAACCCATGTGGAGGGGGTCACACTCGGACAATCAGAGAGGTGGCTTATTATTGTGGCCCAGGTGGCACAAAATAATCAAAGGTCTGACTGCATGGAGATGCTTGGGGAAAATGGTTACAATGGGGGACCAGAGTGTTTGTGTCTCAGGTGAAAAGGGTGGATCTGATCTCCATCATGGAGGATGAGCTGGCCAATCGGTGGTCTACTCGCATCCATCGCAACATATATTTTTTATGACCGGTATACTCCCACACCATTCTATTGTTGGGGTACACCAATGCCATTCCAACACAGAAAAGCTGCTTTTTAAAATACTTAATTTTTTGGGAAGGAAAACTATTTCACTAATATTGTAATTATAGGTCATATTTAATAGAAATCTGGAAACACTGGACAGTTACTTTAAAGTAAAAACAGTGTTAGTGATGTTATGACTTTGCAATCTCTACACAAGCAGATTCCCTTCACTTTTGGTGGGTCACAGAAATAAAAGATATATAAAATAAATAATATGAATGTTTGATGAGTAATGAAAAAATCATTGGGTAACTTTCCTCTTCAACTTTGTCACTGGCAGCCAGAGAAAACCTCAACTGATTGCTTTAAACACTTGTCTCCATTAGAGCTTTTCTCAATTTCAATGCAATTGAAAGTTGTTAATTGACTGAGGTGTGTGAGATAGCATCTACCTACAATGATAAATATTCAGTGATTCTGTAACGAAGTGTTTGTAGTAAAACTGCACACACCAGTCTTCTTCACCTCAGGACTTGTCTTAAACAGCACATGTTCAGCTGATATTTGTGAGCCTTTGTGTTAAACAGGGACAAGTATATACATTGTTGATAGGAAAATGGGAATATTCTGAATGAAGTTAAAAAGAAAACCTCCTATGTTTGTGTTTGAAAAAGTGTGGCATTAAGTGGGTGAGAAGGGAAATGGTTGCATATTCCAGAACCAACGTGTGTCTATGAGCAGGGGTTGTGAGAGAGAGCTTTCAATTTTGTGCAGATGAGGGGATATACATTTTAAAATATAGTATACATCTAATCTATTTTTTTTATTGTCCTATCAAGATGGAACGATCCCCAACCCTATATCCTAGACACCAACCTGAGCGACCCATACACCAAAGAGAAGTCCCCATCTGTTTTATGGACCTGCTGTGAGTTGCCTATATGCAGCCAAAACAGAAAAATAAATGCGGTCAGAGACCTACTTTAGCAGCACCGCCCCCTCAAGATTCTGAGCCTGCCTGGCAGGGTTGGTCCTACAAAGCCAGAGCCTCCTGATGGGAGAGCATAATTATACAAGGAAATTATCAAAGCTGTAATGAGAACCTTGACGACCTTGTACCTAGCCGGTGGGGATTCCGGTGGGGTACCCCCACCCAGGTAGTGGCAGTGCTGGCAACACTGGCTGCAGTAACCCATGTGGAGGGGGTCACACTCGGACAATCAGAGAGGGGGCTTATTATTGTGGCCCAGGTGGCACAAAATAATCAAAGGTCTGACTGCATGGAGATGCTTGGGGAAAATGTTACAATGGGGGACCAGAGTGTTTGTGTCTCAGGTGAAAAGGGTGGATCTGATCTCCATCACCTAGAACTTTAAATAGATTAAAAAGATTAATCAAATCTCACATTGTTGTCAGTTTTTGCTCGATCTTGCATGCTTTCTCAAACAGCTGTAAGTCTATATGCATTCATGAATCTTGTCCATTCTTGAGTTGGGCTCTGGGATGTAACAACCGTTGAGCATCTGATCTTATGGTTGATTGTGGAGGAAAGGGGTTGAGTGTGTTAGAGTATGTGCGTGTGTGTTTATCCCACATCTGTTGCAAGGGGGTAAGGATGTTAGGGAGAATATAGGATAAACCACAATAATTGTTTGCTAAAATAATAATTGCTTGTCAAAAATGTAATGTAAAACAATGGCAATCCGGGTTATAGGTTAAAATCCTACGCATGAACTGCCGACATTATTACGCATATTAATTGATTATGGAAAATAAGATATGCAAGATATTTGAATAGATATATATTTTTAAATAGCTATATATTTTGAGGTGAGAGTATTAAAAATGCTTTTGGCTGTTGACCTGCTTCTGTTTTGTGGGTGGCACTGTGTGCTGTTTTCGATGGATGGGTCCTGGCCTCTCGGGGGCCTAGGGATCCGGAGGGACGGGGCTGGTATGCCGATCACTGGGATGACGGCCCAACTTGGGATGGGGAGGGGATTTAACGGGGGAATTAGTGGAGAACAATTGTACAGTGGCTTGCGAAAGTATTCAACCCCCTTTTTACCTATTTTGTTGCCTTACAACCTGGAATTAAAATGGATTTTTTGGGGGTTTGTATCATTTGATTTACACAACATGCCTACCACTTTGAAGATGCAAAACATGTTTTATTGTGAAACAAACAAGAAATAAGACCAAAAAAAAAGAAATTGAGCATGCATAACTATTCACCCGCCCAAAGTCAATGCTTTGTAGAGCCACCTTTTGCAGCAATTACAGCTGCAAGTCCCTTGGGGTATGTCTCTATAAGCTTGGCATATCTAGCCACTGGGATTTTTGCCCATTCTTCAAGGCAAAAAAGTTGGATGGGTTCTGCTGGTGTACAGCAATCTTCAGTCATACCACAGATTCTCAATTGGATTGAGGTCTGGGCTTTGACTAGGCCATTCCAAGACATTTAAATGTTTCCCCTTAAACAACTTGAGTGTTGCTTTAGCAGAATGCTTAGGGTCATTGTCCTGCTGGAAGGTGAACCTCCGTCCCAGTCTCAAATCTCTGGAAGACTGAAACAGGTTTCCCTCAATTTAGTGGCATCCATCATTCCTTCAATTCTGACCAGTTTCCCAGTCCCTGCCAATGAAAAACATCCCCACAGCATGATGCTGCCACCACCATGCTTCACTGTGGGGATGGTGTTCTCGGGGGGATAAGAGGTGTTGGGTTTGCGCCAAACATAGCGTTTTCCTTGATGGCCAAAAAGCTCAATTTTAGTCTCATCTGACCAGAGTACCTTCTTCCATATGTTTGGGGAGTCTCCCACATGCCTTTTGGCGAGCATCAAACGTGTTTGCTTATTTTTTTCTTTAAGCAATGGCTTTTTTCTGGCCAATCTTACGTAAAGCACAGCTCTGTGGAGTGTACGGCTTAAAGTGGTACTATGAATAGATGCTCCAATCTCCGCTGTGGATCTTTGCAGCTCCTTCGTGGTTATCTTTGGTCTCTTTGTTGCCTGTTTGATTAATGCCCTCCTTGCCTGGTCCGTGAGTTTTGGTGGGTGGCCCTCTCTTGGCAGGTTTGTTGTGGTGCCATATTCTTTCAATTTTGTAATAATGAATTTAATAGTGCTCCGTGGGATGTTCAAAGTTTCAGATATTGTTTTATAACCCAACCCTGATCTGTACTTCTCCACAACTTTGTCCCTGACCTGTTGGGAGAGCTCCTTGGTCTTCATGCTGCTGCTTGCTTGGTGGTGCCCCTTGCTTATTGGTTTTGCAGAATCTGTGGCCTTTCAGAACAGGTGTATATATACTGATATCATGTGACACTTAGATTGCACACAGGTGGACTTTATTTAACTAATTATGTGACATCTGAAGGTAATTGGTTGCACCCGATCTTATTTAGGGGCTTCATAGCAAAGGGGGTGAATACATATGCACCCACCACTTTTCCGCTATTTATTTTTTAGAATTCCTTGAAACAAGTCTTTTTTTTCATTTCACTTCACCAATTTTGACTATTCTGTGGATGTCCTTTACATGAAATCCAAATAGAAATCCATTTAAATTACAGGTTGTAATGCAACAAAATAGGAAAAACGCCAAGGGGGTTGAATACTTTTGCAAGGCACTGTATGTGTAGAGCCATTGTCATATCATTGTTCAATCATTTTCAGACCATTAAATCCGCTGGTGTAACACGGATGTCAAGTACTTCAAGAACAGCGAATACAATAGAATCTGGACTAAATTGTCAAGGGAGAAAACCACCCTTAAGAAAAAAAGGGTAGAGAAGGAAGACAATGACATTGAAAGTGGATCTAGTCTCATCAGCCAGTCTGACATGAAGAGTGAAGATACCAGTCCTACTGAATCTGAGAGAAAAATGTAGTCAGATAGTGAAGTTGAGGCCAGTGGAAGGTACTCTTCCAAGACTGCCAACACATGCTGATGAAGAGTCAGATGGTGAACTTCAGACAGTAGGTGATACTCCTCCAAGACTGCCATCACACAGTGACATAGATTCAGAGACTAAAGCCAATGCTGGTTGTGCAATTCAATTGACCCTGTTTTGCCTCTGTTAATAGGAAAGTATTTATGACTATGTTTATTGCACGTACAGACAATTACTCTGTGGCAGAGCAACGAGCCAAACGGGGGGTTGACACCTCCAATGTTGAATCAGCGAAGAGGGCGGTGACTAAACCAATCAGATTCCGTGTAGAGCCACCCTGTGAGGATTTCTTAACTAGTCTTATTCCATTGTGTGCATTACATGCATCAGGAAGTAGATTAAAATAATGACTATTTTTTTGTATTGTGCTTCGTAAGATGATGATTGAAGTGAAGCACTCCAGAAAAAGACACATGAACCCAGACAAGCCCAGCTTCCAGTGCCCCAGCTTCCACCAGCCCCTAGTGGTAAGATCCTGCATTAGGCTACTAGGTCATTAAACGTATAATGAGCAAGTTGATGGTAAGTTTGACACACATTCAAGTATGTGGGTGAGGAAAAGCTTACAGTTAATGCAAGTACTAGTCTTAAATAGTAGAGACGGCATGAAATCATAACCTAATGACAGTTGATATGACAAGAAATTACCACACCATCTGATCTTGACATACTTGATTATTAGTCACATTACCAAAGTGTAACAGTTCTTTTATTTGTATTTTTTATTAGCGACTTCAAGTGTCTTTGAAAAGACTCTACAAGGTACATAATGTTTTAAATCACCATATTCCTCTGGGGTAAAACACAAGTGTGATGCCATGTTTGTAAATATCTGTATGTATTTGCCATCAAACTAAAAGCATTATTTAAAACCAAAAATAATGCTAAGGATTTATTTTTGTTGGGATTCATTAACCTTCCCACTGAGCTCCTGACTGACATCCATCACTTTTGGTCACTTTTCAAAAGCATGCAAAGTATGTCTTCATTTTTTCCCTTCTGTTTCTCAGTTAGTCCAATTGGCAGCCAGGACGAAGCTGGCCAAGACAGAGCATCAGAATCAGGTTTCTTTAGCCATCAAGATATTGATCTCGAAATCATAAATGCAGAAAGTTAAAATAACAGCATGAATTTCTACTTGTATATTTTAGACCAAGAGCTGCCATCCCTGCTTGACGAGCCCGTGGCTTCTGAGATGCCCGCTGGATACATTAAAGGTATATTATGCTAGCCTATATGTTACAAAATGTTTCTTCTCTTGTATTATCAACATCAATTCCAAATTGTATGGCTGTCAGCAGCTATATGGTTATCAATACTACTAATATATATGAAGGGTGGATATTTTGATCGAGGTATTTCACATGGCCTTCATACATGTTCTGCCTGGTACTCATGGCTTGTATCGTCACGCTGCTTGCAGCTAAACTGTTGAGTCTTTTATTATTTTGCAGATCTTCAAGCAGTGGAGATGAGGATAATGGTGAAACTGGAGATGATCTGTACAGAGTTCAGGACTGCTCTGAACCAAGTTATGGAGGCCATAGAGGCCAGGAAGCCAAAGGAGTCAGAGTCCTTGGGGCAACTTGAAATGCTGCAAAACCCTGCAGAAACAATTGAGGAACTGAAGGATATCTGTGAAACACTTAAAGACTCCCACTATCGAAAGAAAATGGTAGGGATGACCATTTTAAAATGTATCTGTTTGTCAAAATGTTGAAATCTATATCATGTATTTGAACAGCAATTGACAAAAATAAGTTAGCTGTTTATCAAGAGCCACTTGAATGCGACCAGATTTGAGAGAAAATTGCAACCTGCAATATTATTGAATCCAAATATCTTAATGTCAATGAAATGCAGTTGTCATATATGCCATATGCCTATTTAGTGTCTGGATTGATTTCCCAATTAGCACTTAACTTATCTTAAGAAGAAACGATCAGCCCTCTGCCTGTTTACACAAATTTTAGCCCATGATTACATGATGCACTAAAACAATTATTTCTCATTACTATCAATCAGAATTGTATGGCCAGCTGTTTTAGCTGAGGAACACACAAATGAGTAGGAATTTTTAAAAGTCAGATCCGATACCTGACCCTCTGCTGTGGCCAGGACCTGGGCTCAGGAATCAGACGAATGATGAGAAAAATTGGAACAGAGGAGCTGTGGACAGGCTACTCCTAGAAGGGCAGGAAGAGGGCCTTTAATGAGCTATCAATCTATGATGCTGTCACAAGTAAGTAAATGCACAAGTTTAGAATGTATTTATTATTATTTTGTTGATAGTATTATTGGTCAAGTGATGGTAAGTCAAATGTGTATTTATTAAAATATCTAAATCAGTAACAAGGCAGTTACAAACTAAATGTGAAATCCTACCACCTGTTAATATCAGAGAGAGAGGTCAAATGGCCAAAACTGCCTATGAGGGAAGAGAGGGACAATACCCAACCTCTGTCTCAGCCAGCATAGGTGGAAAAGTAGTGATATGACATGGAATGTACCATTTCATTTTTTTTTCACAACATAGGAGCGTCCCTGAAAGCACACCCCAAGGCTACCTACCAAGAGGTAGATGACAAAATAGCAGACGCTCTCAAACATGCACCAGCTCGACTCAAGAGTAAGAGAAAGGTATGATTAAAAATAACACTTTATTATTATTTTTAATGTTTTTACTTCACTTTAATCCAGTCGGTCAGTAGCTAAATTATTGTGCTAGCACAAAAGGAATGTAGTAGGGAGTCGACATTAAACCGGCATTTTGATCATTTGTTTACTTAAAATAATGACCAATTTGTGTTATTGTGACTTCCAGGAGCGGGTCGAGGAAGCGACAGTGGATGAGAATGGAGCAGCAGCACCTGAATAAACATAACATAGTTATTAACTTTTAGCTTTAAGCAATTTTACAATTCTTGATTAGAGTGCAGTGTTCATGTTTTTACTGACTTGTTATTTTGTGAGCTTATTGCTGTGATTTTGTTTCCGAATCTCTTGTGATACAGTTTAAGTAAAAACAAATAAAAAAAGACAACTTCTTATTTTCTGGAATTTTGTATATTTCGTCAGTGGACACCTACCGACAGAATAATGTGTATATGTTCAGGGTAGATTCAACGACGTGTCTTATAATGTCATTAAATATTCAGGGGCCCCCTCATTTCAATGTCCTAAAGTGACTTGGGACGTAACTTGTGTCAACTGACACCACAGGTACATCTAGGAGACGTTTCATGAAAACACTATTTTTACGTCAACCTCATAACATTGCTATATGTCAGAAAGTACATTGAGAGCCCCACAAAATGCAGTTTCTGGTAGCCTTTGGTACCTACAGTACCAACAAGGCACATAAGTGTGCACGTTCAGGGAAGAGTCAATGACATCTCTTACAACGTTATTCAGCTGTTTAAGATCTCCCACATTTCAATGTCTTGAAAAGACTTGGGACATGACTTACATCAGCTGCCGACACAGGTACATGTTGGAGACGTTTCATGAAAAAAATATTTTTAGGTCAATCTCATAACGTCAAAGTACATTGAGAGCCCCACAAAATGCAGTTTCTGGTAACTACTGGGAACGTAACTTTTGTCAGTGGGTACCTACAGTACCAATAAGGCACGTAACAGTGTGCACGTTCAAGGAAGATTTAAGAACATCTCTTATAACGTTACTGAATAATGTTATTTACCTGTTTAAAATCCCCAAAATTTCTACGTCCTGAAAAGACTTGGGACGTGACTTACGTCAGCGGACACCACAGCTACGTAGAAGGCATGTTTCACAATAACGTTATCATGACTTATGTGGGGACTAAAATAACTTTGTGGTCACGTCCTGGAACTTAATTTTGTTCGCTGGGGACAAAGTGAAAACACATTTATTGAAAATGAAATACAGAAGATGGATAAAAATAAAATAAAGCAGACATTGAATATAACTTTGAGCATGGTGAAGTTATTCAATTACACTTTGGATGGTTTATCAATACACCCAGTCACTACAAATATACAGGCGTCCTTCCTAACTCTGTTGCTGGAGAGGAAGGAAGGAAACTGCTGATGTATTTCACCATGAGGCCAATTGTGACTTTAAAACAGTTACAGAGTTTAATGGCAGTGATATGAGAGAACTGAGGCTGGATCAACAACATTGTAGTTACTCCACAATTACCTAACCTAAATGAAAGAGTGAAAAGAAGGAAGCCTGTACATAATATAAATATTCCAAAACATGCATCCTGTTTGCAATAAGGTGCTAAAGTAAAACTGCAAAAAAAATGTGGCAAATAAATTAACTTTATGTCCTTAATACAAAACGTTATGTTTTGGGCAAATCCAACACAACATATCACTGAGTACCACTTCAAATTTTCAAGCATGTTGGTGGCTGCATCATGTTATGGGTATGCTTCTCATTGGCAAGGACTAGGGAGTTTTTAGGATAAAAATAAACTGGATAGAGCTAAGCACAGGCAATATCATAGAGGAATACCTGAATCAGTTTGCTTTCCAAAGTACACTGGGAGACAAATTCAAATGAACCTAAAACAAAAAGCCAACTATACACTATTACCAAAATGACATTAAAATGAGTGGCCTAGTTACAGTTCATTAAAATCAGCTTGAAAATCTATGGCAAGATTTGAGAATGGCTAGCTAGCAATGATCAACAACCAACTTGACAGAGCTTGAATATTTTTTTAAAGAATAATGTGCAAATATTGTACAATCCAGGTGTGAAAAGCTCTTAGAGATTTACCCAGAAAGACTCACAGCTGTAATCGCTGCCAAAGGTGCTTCTAACATGTATTGACTCAGGGGTGTGAATACTTATGGAAATGAGCTATTTCTGCATTTCATTTTCAATACATTGACAAACATTTCTACAAACATGCTTTCACTTTGTCATTATGGGTTATTGTGCGTAGATAATAAAAAATAAAAAGGGGTATGAATATTTTCTGAAGGCACTGTAAATACACATCAACTTTAGAGGAATAAATGTGTTGTTCAGAAAACATTTTATTGTCAGGTAAAAGGATGTTTCCATACAAACTGGTGACTAAGTACCATAAAACAGATATTTATTTATTATATTGTGCCACCATGTAACAGCACTACAGTGGGGAAAAAAGTATTTAGTCAGCCACCAATTGTGCAAGTTCTCCCACTTAAAAAGATGAGAGAGAACTGTAATTTTCATCATAGGTACACGTCAACTATGACAGACAAAATGAGGGAAAAAAATCCAGAAAATCACATTGTAGGATTTTTTATGAATTTATTTGCAAATTATGGTGGAAAATAAGTATTTGGTCACCTACAAACAAGCAAGATTTCTGGCTCTCACAGACCTGTAACTTCTTCTTTAAGAGGCTCCTCTGTCCTCCACTCGTTACCTGTATTAATGGCACCTGTTTTAACTTGTTATCAGTATAAAAGACACCTGTCCACAATCTCAAACAGTCCAGAAAATGACATTGTAGGATTATTAATGAATTTATTTGCAAATTATGGTGGAAAATAAGTATTTGGTCAATAACAAAAGTTTCTCAATACTTTGTTATATACCCTTTGTTGGCAATGACACAGGTAAAATGTTTTCTGTAAGTCTTCACAAGGTTTTCACACACTGTTGCTGGTATTTTGGCCCATTCCTCCATGCAGATCTCCTCTAGAGCAGTGATGTTTTGGGGCTGTCGCTGGGCAACACGGACTTTCAACTCCCTCCAAATATTTTCTATGGGGTTGAGATCTGGAGACTGGCTAGGCCACTCCAGGACCTTGAAATGCTTCTTACGAAGCTACTCCTTCGTTGCCCGGGCGGTGTGTTTGGGATCATTGTCATGCTGAAAGAGCCAGCCACGTTTCACCTTCAATGCCCTTGCTGATGGAAGGAGTTTTTCACTCAAAATCTCACGATACATGGCCCCATTCATTCTTTCCTTACACGGATCAGTCGTCCTGGTCACTTTGCAGAAAAACAGCCCCAAAGCATGATGTTTCCACCCCCATGCTTCACAGTAGGTATGGTGTTCTTTGGATGCAACTCAGCATTCTTTGTCCTCCAAACACGACGAGTTGAGTTTTTACCAAAAAGTTATATTTTGGTTTCATCTGACCATATGACATTCTCCCAATCCTCTTCTGGATCATCCAAATGCACTCTAGCAAACTTCAGACGGGCCTGGACATGTACTGG